CTGAGCTATCTCCCGGCCCCTCCTTTTTTTCTTTTGAGAGGAGCTGTGGGCTCAAAGATCCGACCTGAGCATACAACATGATTGACCCCCCAGCCTCTGCCCCCCAGTCTGCCAGGTCTGCCTGGTGCATGAAGGTAAAGAGCTTGGTGCTGGTGCAGGTAGATACAGGGCAGGGGGCCCAGGGCAGGTTGGGGGTCGGATGCGGGCATGTCCTGGAACACTCTCAGGTGAAGAGGGCATTGCAGCCAGGGAGGAAAGACAGGGACTGTCTTAGAACAACCGAGCAGACCTCTGGGGCAGAGAATAATGCGTTCAGCTTCATCCCACACACCACAACGTAAGAGCAGTTGTATGAGGATCAAAAGTTGATGATAATAATAATAATAATCCCTAAACTAATTCAAAGGAACCATGAGAAATTTAAAAAAAAATTTGTGAACGAAACCACAAACCATAAAATAAAATAATGACACACCCAACCATATACAAAGTGCTTACCCTACACTAGTTCTGGGAAGACTGTGAACACCCATTTTGCCCTGGGCAGCCCAGAAGAGGAAGAGGGTGGGAAAAGGATGGGAAAGAGGGGACACGCCAGAAGAGATAAGATCTCGTGCCAGAAATCCATGGTGAGACCAAAACAAGGGCAGGTTAGTGTTGCTGACCTTTGCTTCTTGCCTTGGCCTCAGAGTCGGGGCACAGCACTGCTCCTGGGGTCTCATCTTCAAGTCAAGGTTACGGGCTTTCATTGCAAGGAGCTGGCAACCCCCAATGTTTTATGGCCTGGTGATGAAGAGCCCTTGAGGGGCAAGGGAGCATTTAACACAGCGCTGATTATGCAGCTCAGGCGACAGTGCAGAGGGAGGCTGGGGAGAAAGCCTCTTCTTGGAGACAAGGCCTGCAGTAGGGTGGAGGCAGTTGAAGGAAATAAAGACATTTTTCCAGCCCTCTCTGGCTATTTCCCCTGGGTGCAACTTGCCTTCCAGTGACAGAAGGGAGACAATGCTCCTT